AACTTTCGATTGACTCGACAAATTTCTTGAAGAGCTCTTAATAATCGTCTTTTCTGATCAGTTTGCTTCAAGTAGTTTCGGAGTATCGATTTAATTCAAAATTTAACTGCAAGTGCAGAAAGTCAACAACTGAACGAAAAGGTATTTGATGCACTAAATGCATTCAAACGAAGGTGTATATAAGTGTATAAAATATAAGGGGAGTTTTAAATTCATAATATGTTCGGCTTGTTTTTTGTGACTAGATCATAATATATTAGATTATGATATGAAGTCTAAAAAATGAGTTTCATCTATTTAAAAAGGAGTTATTTATCTTTGGTATTAATTGACGGTTTCTTTGATCAGAACAAGATCTAGCAGATATTGAATGGAAGATACATCTTCCGTTTATTAATTATTATATTCAAGTAAATGTATTATTAGCTTGCTGGGTCATAATTATTTACTTCGTATTTTTTTCTTAATAATTATTAAAATTATTAAATTTAAGTGCAATTTTCACGATAAGTTAAATAATGTTCTACAATTAAATCAACAATAAAGGATTGCGTTCGATACTTTGATAGCTGTAAAAATTGGATCTGGTGGAATTTACTTCCACCCAAAAGTACAAGGCAAAAGATCAGTAGGAAGACGCCAGAACTCATGGCTGAAAGACTTAAGGAGATGATTCGACCGCTCATCCGCAGAAATCTTTCGCGCAGCAGTTTCCAAAACCACAATTGCCATTTGGATCGCCAACCTTCGAAAGGAGATGGCGCCATGAGAAGAAGAAGATGCTTGAGGGAGGGCGTGGTATACACATTGAAAAAACATTGCTTATTCTGTTACCAATTGGCGATGATCGCAATACTAAGGCTATTGCGATCATCGCCATCGTTAGCCGTATCTGGAACAGCTGAAACTCTATTAGAAAGCAGACTAATTGCTCATTATGCCTTTAAATTAACATTAATCTGCCTAAACATCGCCAAAAATAGTGTAATGGAGAGGATTTAACAGGTATGCAAATTAATCGTTTGATACGAATGTACGACGTCCCACAAGAGGTTATTATAGGCACTGGAACTTTAAAATATATTCATGACAACCAAAACATTTTTGATGTAGCCATGATCAACTGTTGCGGAAACGCATGCCTATAACATCATCTAATTTGTTGCGGCGCGTAAAGATGCTCCAATTGACAACTAATATAAGAGTATTTTTGCAAAAGATCAAAATGCAATTGTGTTTTCTAAGTTGTTAGACGTTGGATATATTTTTTTCGGAAATAGCGCAAGTGTTCAATAACCATAATTGGTTGAGTGAACGAGCAATATTGGCGAAAAGAAAACACATTTCGATGATCTTCATACGACCATTCAGAATTTTCTTTTAGGAAAGTTGTTTTAAGCGAGAATGACATAGTCAACTATCCTACAGAGTTTTTGAATTAATTGGAATTGCCTGGAATTCTACCTCACACTTTTACGATTAAAAGTAGGATCATTTGTCATGGCAACCTCGAATATACAATGAAATGAGACTGACTAGGATAAGGCTAATGAATAATGTCATTGAGGCAAAAAATTCAAAGGAGGTGATGTCTTGATCCCACGTATAACGATAATTTCAACGGATCTACCATTTGATTTTAAGCGTCTACAATTTCCCGTTCGTTAAGCTTTTGCAATGGCAATAAACAAAAAAAAACGCAAGGCTAACCGTTGGAAGTTTGCGGAATTAACTTTCCGTAAAAAGAGTTTTCATGTTTTGCGTATGGACAATTATTGGCATGTCGGAAAACCGCCATCGTTGTATATTTCATCATCATCATCATCATTGGCTCGACAACCCTTTTTGGGTCTTGGCCTGTTCAAGGATTCTTCTCCATTGTGACCTGTTTCGTGCTTTTTTAACAGTTTTTAATTTTTAATGTTGTTATATCATTTTCTATTTGTTCTACGTATCTCAGCTTCGATCTTTCTCTTGTTCTTTTTCCTACTGGCACTTGTTTGAATATTTTGTTTGGTATTTCGCCTTCTTCCATTCTTTCCACATGTCCAATCTAACGTAGGCTTCCTATTTTAATGAATGTTGTATATTTACTTGTATATTTACGCACCTCAAAAAACAACAAAAATATTGTTTATCAGAAAGCTTTAAATTGAGTCATTTTTCTTGATGCATAATATTTTTAAGTACTTTTTTTGGTTTTCTATTAATTTTTGTTATTGAACTTCGACACATTATTTAATTCTAAGGCGGTATAAAGTTCGCTGAGTCAGCTAGTTATTATATAAATTTAATATACATACACAATTATTTTCATTTAATTCAAATGTAAGTATCTTTCCAAAAGAATATGTTTTAGAACACATGACAACGACAACATTTAGATAATATAATTCCATAAAACTCTTAAATTTTAAAGAAGTTTATATTTTTCTTCTTCTTCTTCTTCCTTCCAGTATGTAGGCTTTAAAACCTGTTTCTTCTTCAATATTAGCTTCTTAAATTGTTTAAATTGTCCCACCATCTTTTTATTGGTCTACCAATACTTCTTCGTCCATTTGGTAACTTATCTCGTGCTATTCGCACTATTCTATCCTCTGCCATACTACTGATTTGTTCGTTCCACTCCTGTTTTCGTTTTGTCACCCATCCATTTATATCTTCTATATTGCACGCTCTTCTTATGTTTTTACTTCTCTCCCTATCCAACAGACTCTCCCTGATATTCGTCGGAGTATTTTCATCTTTGCTGTTTCTAGCAGTCGTCTCGCTTTAGATGTGTCAGGTCTTGTCTCCGCCGTGTATGTTAATATAAGTCTAATCACTGCTTTATAGATTCTTGTTTTTGTGTCTTGTCTTAGGTGTTTGTTCTTCCAGATTGTATCATTAAGAGAACCCGCCGCTTTACTTGCTTTTAAGCTTTGTTGTCGTACTTCTTCAACATCTCCGTAACTAGTTATACTATTCCCAGATATCTAAACTTCGCTTCCTGCTTTATTATTTTGACCTTTACGTACTGCTTGTATTATCTCGTCCATTATTATATTAAAGAGAAGTCTTAAAGAGAAGGCTTAACGAGTCACCCTGCCTGACTCCGCTTTGTACTGGTATACACTCGGTCAGTTTTTCATTTATCTTTGCCTGTATTCGATTATAAAGGTAGATGTTTTCGATGGTTTGTATAATATTGATTGGTATGTTTCTTTTATACAGTAGGTGTAAGACATCTTCGACTTGGATGCAATCAAAAGCCTTTGTCAGGTCTATAAAACATAGATATGCTGATCTATTATACTCGATGGCCTTTTCTTTCTTCTTCATTGATTTCTTCAATGTTGTTTTTAATTTTCTCCCAGCTCGCGTTTATATCTTCGATGTCGTATATTTGTTTCAGCTGTATTTTCTGTGCTAGCCTCCTTTGGTACATTTCTCTTGTAGAGTCGTTCCACAGTGATTCTACATTGAATTTTTCCTCGGTTATATTTGAAATATCTAGTATAAAATAACGAATTTTAACAAAATTTCCCGAGATAATCTATACCGTTAGTGATAAAAAAAATTGGTACAATAGGCGGTACTGTAGACTAGCTTGAAGCTGTATACTTTATAGCGCGAATACATGTTTTATGTATTTTAAAATTTTGAGACTTTCGATTTTTTGAACAGAATATACAAAAATTTCTTAAAATAAGTAAGTAAATTTTGTAAATCGATGATTGTAAAAAAATAATAAAATTACTTTATTTAATTTTTAAAATATCATTTAAAATTTAAACATACAGAAAAGAATATGAAGCTTCGCGCTTGTCTACAGAAACGCCGACTGTACCACTTTTCTTGTGATCTGTCAAAGTTCTGTCAAAAAAACTACAAACCATGAAGAAAGTTTCTCCATAGTAAATGCAATTAGGGACTATTTTGTAACCTATGTGTCTATGGCACAGGACAAGCTGGTTGCTATAGAACGGCGTTTCTGTTTAGGATCACCTTATCTTAGTCGGTGTCGTATTGACTCGTCTTATTTTGCCATTGAAAAAAAAACATGGGGATGAGATTGCACTGGTGTCAAGAACGTGTCCAGTGGATTCGGGAATGGAATAGAATTGTTTTCAGTAATGAGTCTCGATTTTGTTCTACGGCCAATGCTAGATGAAGAGTTCGCTGAAGACGTTGAAAGATGGAAAATTCAATTTTGCCAAAAACATGAAATTGAGCTTACTTGTCAGTTATATTTTAGAAATAGTTGCTATACCATACATGGTAGCAACAAAATATAGCAAAAGCCCAATTTTCCAACAGAATAATGACGAAGTTAGTAAGCAGCAGTTACTGCCAAACTCCCTCGTAACTGTAGGGCTATTAGTAGGTATTTATCCGTAGCCAGATAGGTACTCTGATCTTTCACCCATTTATTATGCATGGGTCACGACAGGTAGAGATGTGATTAAGTCCCTGGTTTATATAAAATATAATTCAAGTTGCTTGGAACTTAATTCCTCATTAGACATTAATCACCTTATCTGACGAATATCTCGGAGAATTGAGAAATTTGTTATTTTAACTCATTATTAAAATTTCTAGACAAAGACCAAGGAAATTGTTTTCAAACTTTGGGCATTTGAAGTAGTTTGTAAGCAATTTGGACTAACAAAAACTTATGTTTTCCATCAAATGCAAAGCACCCAGTGATTTAATCTTAGTTGAACTTGCGAGAAAACTGAACTAAAAATTAATGTGTATCGTGCAATCGGTAACCATATTTTTTAATTGATGGTTATCGTAAGGACTATTAATAACAAGTTATATAAGTATTTTATTGGCCATGGTGGCCAAAAAAGACATTTATTTATTTCACTGTTACTCTTTTTACTACTTTTCATTACATATATTACGACATATTATGGTAACAACTGAACAATGATACGTTATTTTCAGTTTTAGATTGATTTATTGAATTGTTTTGTTTGTTTACCTCATGTAATTTTTTATATTTGTTACAGCTGGTGATATATGCCCTTGCCTGGTATTACCTGATAGTTTCAAATCTGCACTGTCGCAAATGTTGGACGTGAGCCTGTTGAAAAATCCAGTATTTTTAATGATCGGAATTTCGAATTTGTTCGGAATGGCAGGATTGTACATACCTTTCGTCTACCTTGTTGAATGCGCTAAATTAGATGTAAGTAAATATATGTTTGTGCCTTTATTTAATATATTTAGATTTTTTTAATATCAAATTATGTATGTATGATTAGGCGTGAGAACTGCGAGCAGGTACTGCCGTGACCTCAACATTAGGAAAACCAATTCGTGTTTATCAGCCGTGTAAATTTAGATCCCAGGCATTAATGGTAGCGATAGAAGAGATTGAGGGGGTCGACAGATTCAGGTCAGTTCTGGATTGGCCAGAATATCTTTGCACATGGCAAAGGCAGCTTAGAGTATGCGAATAATGTAAAAGAGGAGTACCAAAAATCAGAAGTGATAGATCAGAAGTGATCAGAAGAAATAACAAAATAAAAGGATGTGAGAAGTGTATCCAGTATCCAGTCTTGACCTGGTTTAGATTTCGAGTGAAGCTCCAAAGATATTACATAGAAGGTATCATCGTCTTCCTCAGACTCTAAGTGAATCCTTTTTTTTAAATTAATTTTTTTCATCTTCTCCTTTATGCCAGTCTTGATCATTTTATTTAACCTTTTTTTACTTTTTCTATTGCAGCATTTTTTAGCTTCTTTTTCGGCACCTTCTTTTTTTGTCCTTTCCTTTACTGATGTGCTTGTAAGAACCGAAGATTTCATGGGTTTCTTTCCTTTTTTATTATGTTTCCTATCTCCAGCTTTTGTATAGGGACTGTATATTCTCAACGTTGCTATTCCCAGCCTAGGTAGTTTCGACAGCGCTGTTTTGACAAGTCATGCCTCTATATATAACTGAGCGTGACAAGAACTCAGCATTAGTAAACACGTCTTTATTGTAAGGGCGTGATTCCTGTGGCTTGAAATTCAGAAATAATATTCTTAGGATTTATTGTTTTGGTCAGTACCAATTTCGCGATGCCAGGAATATCGTAAATTGTCACTATTTTACCAGAACATTTCGTCATCCAATCATCAACTAAAATAAAAATTTTTAAAAGATACATAAACTGATTTGTCAAGCGGTTACAGGAGGAGTGTACGGTTACAGGAGGATGAGGAGTGTAAGGGGAAAGGATGACGTGACGATAGCATTTTCTTTAGAAAAATTAAACACTTCAATAGAAAGATGTGACTCATGTTTATCCAAAACTAACAAACAATGATGATCTTTTGTAGATCCCACATGGTCTTGAAAATGTTTAATAAATTTCAAAAATGATTCGGATGTAGTCTATCCCGATGGGTAGGAAGTACCGATGCAGCCTGGTGGTCTGTTGTTGATAAAATGGTCTTTGAAAAACACGCGTGGAAAACGAACATCGGAGGAACCGAATTTCCTATGGCGCTCACGGCCAAGACCGTAGTAACTGTTTTGCTCTTTCTGCACTGGCATAGCATTTCCTACTTACTACTACACTGATCACTTATCGCTGGGAATAGAGTGGCAGCCGTAGCTCAGTGGCTTTGTTACTGGCTTCACAAGCTGTAGGGCCCAGGTTCGAATCCTGGCACCGACAAAAATTTTCAATTTCTAATTTAACTGAGCTGCCACCGTGTTTCGGAAGGCACGTAAAGCCGTTGGTCCCGGCTCCGAAAGTGGTCGTTAAGTCATGTTAAGGGCGCTTGCGTGACCTGAAAACCCTAACACTAGACCTTAGCCAGAAGGTTACACGAACTTTACTTTTTTGCTGGGAATAGAGGACGGGTCATTTATACCGTCGATGATGACGTGTCTTGGGTGGAGGTTGGCGTGGGGGCCAGCGCTAGCCATGCGATTTTCCGCGCCTGCTCGTTCCTCTTGTTCTTTTGGTTCTCTCGACGATGCTGACACGGTCTGTATGAGGTATGTTATAAAATTTAGTTGTTTACTCTTTGAATGTAAATTTATTACTTCCCTACCCTTCTCCTATTTCTGCTACATTTTTATTTGGTGTCTTTGTGCACACCGATTTCATCGACATTTAATATATCCTTGTTTTCAAATTTGTAGTTTTCCGAAACGCATTTCAAATTATCAAAAAGTAGGGCAATATTGGTTTTATTAAACCTGGTTGCACGTCTAAGGCTCGTAGCTTCAGGCTCCCTGATTGATAGTCGATCGTCTGTTCTTAAATAATGTGAACCAGTCCTTTGTAGCCATTTTATGGTTATACCATGTATCAGGAACACTAATGACATTCTTATTAGTCATAGCAAATTCACAAGCTAATATTTTAATGGTTTGTGGATTGATTCCATAATAAATTTTCGATGAATATTTTATGTACTCTTTAAGTTTATTCTCTATTTGATCTGGAAAAATCTGTCTTGGTTTAACATATCCCATTATAATCTTTCGACCGTCGGGTTCGTCGTTTTTTTTTATCTAAACAAAGTCATTTTGTTGATCTCAGAAGGCGATAGCTGCTTCCCACAGAGATATCGTTTGGGCTTCATAGGCTTTCTCAAAGTTCTCAATTGGGATTCTTCATCGATCCGTCGTCCTAGTATAGTTCCGCACCATATTTCTTTATGAAAAGATCAAGATATTAGACCGTATTAATGTGCCCGGCTCCTTGTATTAACTTGCTCCCATTGAATATTTTAAAATCTTAAGTCTTAAATCAAACTTTCCTCTTCTAAATCAAGAAGACTGAAAAATTTAAATTTTCTCAAGACACTCAACTTTAGATACACTACGAATTATACTCAAAAATTATTTTGCACTAATGGAAACAAACATTCAATTATAAAACCACCTAGAGCTACTCCTTACTCATTTTCTGTGTAGGCAGGCGCGTCTCTTCTATTAATGAAAACCCTGCATATATTTGGATTTTGGAATATAAAACTAGGCAGTTCAAAGAGTCTAGGATAAAAAGCCGTTTTGTTGAGTCTAATGTGGACTTTTATGATCTAGAGTCGTAGGAAAGATAAACTTACATAATTCTTAAATTTGAAAAATTCACTAAATTCCAAGATCTATCACGAATCTGGCTTTACTTCGTTCACCATGGAAATAGAGAGCAACAAGCAAAATGTATTTTATATGTTTTTGTAAAACAGAAATTGCACAGAAAACACATACAGTACAGAAGAACATAAAGTAAACCGAAAACCAACGCCCACCGAACGATATGTGAGCAACAACTCCAACCACCATCCAATAAACAAATTAAGGGTTAAAAAGGTTGCACATTGACTCGTCGGAAAAATATTAGTAAAACATGACATCGAGTCCATCATCGAACCTAACCTAACGAAGACAAAACAAGAAAAAAATTAATGGGAAAATCCCAGTAGTTGGCTGTATATCATCGTTTAAAAAAACATACAGAATTTAAAACACTTCACAATTGTATTTTGGTATAAAAACATATAGTTAAAACTTTTTAAAAAGTGTCGTCAAAATGTATGTAGTAGCAAAACCTTTTCGATCTAATGATCATCCTCAGTGCCTTATGTAGTTAAAGCTAACAATAAAGTTGTGGCTGTGACATCTACATATGGGTTTACATCATTCCAAATTTAAATTATGTTGTCACTCTAGGTCGATGGCTTTGTATAAAATTTATTACTTTAGAACTAAAAATAATAAATTACCCTAAAGGACCCTAAATTAATAAATTTTATCCAATGTCATCGACCTAGAGTCAAAACATAATTTAAATTTGGAATGATGTAAACCCATATATGGATGTCACAGCCACAACTTTATTGTTGGCTTCAACTACATAAGGCACTGAGGATGATCTGGCTAGATCGAAAACGTTATGCTACTACATAAATTCTGACGACACGTTTTTTAAAAAGTTTTAACTATATATTTTTATACCAAAATACAATTGTGAAGTGTTTTAACTTCTGTATGTTTTTTTTTACAATACAAGAAATTTTAAGATCAGCTACAGTTCCAAAAGAACCGTTGTCTACTTCAGCAATTTACTGCATTTCCTGAGGTTATGGAACTAGAACAATAAAACATAGTGTAAATACTCGAATTACCGAACACAAAAGAAACTATCGCCTTGGTCACTGCGAAAAACTGGCTGTTGTAGAATACATCATTACACAAGAGAATCAGCGAATCTATTTCAAGAAACTCAGGTGTTCTGTGGAACATCTCACTACTACCCACGGATGTTCACAGAGGTTATCGAAATTAAAAATCATCCCATTAACTTTAACATTAAAAAAACGGGTCTATAAAACTCACACTAGACAGACCAAAAATTTTAATACCAATTCCGATATCGATTTCAATACCAGGCCAACCGATAGATCTCTGGAGGTATATGACAGATACAAATAGCTCAGGTACTCATGGAGGAAGATCATTAGTGAACGACAAAGCGATAGGTAATGTATACATTCATTACCGCATCACTTTTGATAATATCTGCTACAATTGCAGACGATACACAAGGAACGAACAAACATACAACGGTCCATAAACCCTAATAATAATGTTATTTAAAGAGTTAAAGTTTAAAGGTTATTTTTCACTTTTTATTACTTTCTTTATTTTATAATCACTTGTATGTTTTTGTGGTTATGGTTTATTTTGTATAAACGTTATGAGTAACTTGGAAAATTTTATTTTAGGGAATTGATTCTTCTCAAGCATCTTTTTTGCTTTCCATTATCGGTATAACAAACACTGTGGGTCGTCTGGTATGCGGATACATAGCTGATTTTCCACAAGTCAACGCACTTTTTGTTAATAACTGTTGTTTAATTATATCTACGATCGCTGTAGCTTTAACTCCCCTTTGCCACACGTATGGATTGTACGTCACCGTAGCAATCTTTTTCGGAATCGCAGTATGTAAGTATCACGTATGTTATTTTTTAAAAGTTAATTCATAGGTTTAAGTGTAGCCAAAAATAATGATTTATAATAAAGAGAAATGTGCGTTTTAATTAATTATTGCGTATTACTTTTTTGGACTTGTTCTAAATATGGCAATTCAATTAAAACATGAAACTTTTATTAAAATGGCCAAATGAACAATTTCATATTTCTAGACATCTCTCGTCTTCACTCTCTTTGCCTTTATTGTTATGCCGGGTTGGTTTCCAACGATTCTTCAGTCTTGAATTTCTGATTTTAGAATCATTTTGTGGCACCACCTCCCTCCTAGACTCGACATGAAATTTGTCAGTCTCCCGTTTACCTGTCATAAGTTGTTATTCTTCTTCTTTGTATGTCGTCCCCATTAACGGAGGTTGGCTACATTTCTAAAAGTTTCTTTATCTTTTGCAACGTGGAATAATTCGTCTACAGTCATGTTTGTCATATACGGTCTCGAATATTTCGCAGCCATATGATACGCTTTCTCAAGGTCAATGAATACCAGATGAGCATTTGTTTCTTTATTTTATATTTTTTGATCGGCTGCCTTCTAATGAAAGTTATGTGTGCTATCTGACTTATATACATCGAAACCAATTTTAGGGTATTTCGGTTTCCTTGTATCTGTTTATGAGTTACCTCTCCCTTATTCATGGCATGACTAAGTAGTTTTATTGCCCTGTAGTTTGTACATTCATAAACGTATCCTTGGTTTTTGTATACAGATAGCCCCGTCTGTGTAGCAGGTACCTTTATCTGGATACCATATGGTCATAGATCATTATCCATTCGGTATCCCTGATTTGATATAAGATCTTACAACATCCTGATCTAACCGTTACGCTGTGTATGTTTTCTCGCAGTCTATAATATTCTATTCCTACTTCCCCCTTTTTATCTTTGTCTAAAGAGATCTAAAGGGGGAGGTACAGTAGGGTACAGTAGGTACAGCCTTATAGCTGCCCTTGGTGTGACAATCATAGTCCCTCTAAATCCAAATCAAGAATCTTAATTTGAAGATGGCACTTTTTTACTGCACCTTTGACCACCATATCACTTATGTATATGTAATTGTGGTTTTACCACCATGTTATGAAAAATCCAATATAACATGTCTGGTTTTAAACCCCGCATTTTTCCCTGGGGACGCGTGGCTACCATTAACGTAGTTGCCGCTTTCTTGGTTATTCGTTTTATTTGCTGATTTCATACATTAAGTTTAAAGTTTTTTGAGAGAGTCCTGCTTGATACGCATACTGTTCCTATGTATCGGATTTTTAACCAATACACCATCCCTAATTTGCCTATCGAGCAGTTTTTTTAGTATCTTCAGTACGAATGACATCAGATATATCGGCCTCATTGACCTTGCTTTTACTGTATGGTTTAGCCAGGTTTAGGTATAGAAGCAATCCTTATATTATGCCTCCATGCATTTGTACATACCCCAGACCTAATGGAGCCTATATTATCATACCTAATTTTTTGTCTGGAAGGTCATTTCTCATCTGCATCATTGGCGCTTTGTGGCAAGCACTCTGGCAATTGGTTTATTTGACTTCGATCTTGTAGACATATAGCCATATTTTTTAATTAAAATTCTAACGGTGGTATAGTACTCTCGAATTGATATTAAATACTGATTTTTGTGCGCTTATGTAGTTAATTGTATATAATATATCTATGGCTTTTTATTAAACTATTAATGTTAGACTATTATCTTCTTTTAATATTGGTAACCAGAACCTGCTATATCCTGTTGATGGGTTTGCTACACATTTTTTTTTTTTTTTCATTTTAAGTAAGATGAGGGCTGTTGCTTTGATTCTTCTCTTTTTGCTGTCTGTTTCTTTCAAAAATATTAATGTATCTTTACATTGTACTCTGTGCTCATTGTCCCCGGTATGTTTGCATATCTGGGATCTGTCGAAGTCTCCGTTTTTTTTTCGTATATTATTATAAAAATTAGTGATCTTTAGGTTTCTCTTACATAAAGTGTGTTGTTTGGTATGGTTTAATCACAGAATAATAAACAATCAGAATGCCCACTCTTCATGGAAAATTAAGTACGCGCATCTCGTTCGCGCAGACGTTCCGCCATGTTTTAAAGGGAACCAGTGTTGTTTAATGAAAATTTATGTGGTGTGCATAGAAAAATTAACCCGGTTTAATTGACTTACCGCAATCATAGACATACTATACAATTATTTTAACATTGTTAAATATAATAACGTAAATATAAATATAATTAAATATAATATAATTAAACATAAATATAAACAATTACATAACCTCACAAATCATATGTCGATAAAGACCCATTACACCAAAGGTGAGTCTCAATCCGAGTCTGTGTTTCCTTCTAAAACATGGCGCGCGTGCTGAAAACCTTGATTTTCGGTAAAAGGCGGTATCTGAGAGAATAGATCTCAGTGTGTTGATTGTTTTGAATGTTGTGATATTGTATTTATTTCCTATAAGTCAACTGTCAAATTGGCTGCCACAAAACGCCAATGATAAACAGCTATAGGTTAACAATTTCTTGATTCTTAATTTATATTTGTTTGAAAACGATTTCCTGATTGGAAATCAAAACGTCAAAAACAAATAATGTAAAATATAATTTTCATTGTAGTTAGTTGTGGTTTAATCCCTAATAAATACAATATTTAGCTTAAAGATGCCACAACAAAATAGTGTCAGAACTAAATAATATATGTGTTATAACAGTTAACAGAAGATTTAGATAAGGTCCATTCGCTCAACTCGGACATATTTTGACAGATTCATAGCTGGAAACCTACAACACAAAAGTTCCTACTCACAGTATTAACAACTTAAATAAACTAATATTACAGACTTCTTTCATTGATAAACCGACTATATAACTTCTTGCCAATATAATAGAGAGTCCTTTGTTACTTCTGAAAGATATAAATTTAAAGGTTATATTTAAATTGTTTCATGCTTACATATATTACAATGGTAATTTAAAGGTGAAAAATACTCATTAATGTCGGAAGTCATTAGTAATGATGAAAACTTATATTAAAAGTCGTTTCCCTCAGAAATTTAAAAGAAATCCCTGTTTTCAAATGTGTTTTCCTATTTTTGATTCTAGTTATATTTTATACTTTCAATTTTCAATTATTTTAAATGGGTTTTTGGTATGACCTAACCGGTTAAGTTTACCGAAAGTATAAGCTGAATATAGCCATATAGCAAATGTCAACCATGAAATAAAATATTTCGGTTTGACAGTGTTGGGATGTTTTTATAATGTTTGTTGTATGCTTCAAATATAAAGAGAGACATCTTTTAAAAAGAACATTTTGATTATACTGTCTTATGAATTCTGCAGTTTTTAATTTATATGAAACAATAACAAGTAAATATTTGTAACGTTCGAGATTAATTGCAGACATCTGTTGTAATCTGGCAACTGCTGATTTGACGATTGCCAAATCTATCTCCTAATCTATCAAAGGGCAATTTCCAAAAAATGTTCTAATAATTAACTGCAATTAATCTCCAAAGAAACAAATATTTACTCATTCTTGTTTTATATAAATCAAAAATTGCAGAATTTATAAAATAATATAATCAAAATGTACTTTTCTAAAGTTGTATATCTTTATATTTGAAGCATACAGCATATACATTATAAAATATGCCAACACTCCTAAACTGAAATTTTTTGTTCCATTTTTGAGATTTGCGGCTATAATCAACCAACTAACCCAACCTTACCAACACTCTGATTCAGCAACTGATCCTGACAAGTTTCAATGTAAGTTTTTATCATTATTAATGATTTCCGACATCACTTAACACGTATTTTCTCTTTTAAATTACCATTTGAATAATGTGCGTATATATGAAATAATTTAATGTTGGCCCAGTAATCCTTCCCAATTACCATTACTTTTTTCATATTATATTTTAAACGAGCTGTTTAACTTTTTAGCTGGTTACATCTCTCTAACCTCAATCATCCTAGTGGATCTACTTGGCTTGGAAAAGTTAACCAATGCGTTTGGTCTTCTGATTCTTTTCCGAGGAGCTGCAGCCATAATTGGTTCTCCGCTAGCAGGTGCCTTATACGATGCAACCAATTCCTACGATGTACCTTTCTATGTCGGAGGGGGTCTTTTTGCCATTTCAGCCATTACTAGCTTTATAGGTAAATATTAATGTACATTTTTGATTTAGATCAGTGTGATGTTGGGAACCGGTGTGAAATGGAAGAACTACTACTTTTTACATTTCGCGGAGACAAATTTAACACATTTGTTTCAAAGAACGTTTATTAACAGTCACCTGCATTTAATGTATATGTTGTCGTATGTAGGTATACCTATAACATCAACGGACAATGGCAACAATAACTCCCGTCGTGAATGAATGCTATCAAGCGTGAAAACTGAGTGTATGAAAACAAATTGTTTTTATGACAATGGTGACGCGTAGGGTGCCTCTACACTTCTAGGTAAAAAGCAGATGATGACAGGGAATTTCAATAAAAATTTCCCTTTATGTCTGGTCTTACCCCTGTTCTTTGTTTATTTTATATACAGTGTGGCGCAATAAGTTTTAATAAAGTAATGGCGGATACAGTTACGTTAAAAATCTGAAATTACGAAGCCATAGGTTTTTGATGACGCTGAGTTGAAATATAATGACGTCCTGAATGTGACGGTTATATCGGAAGTAGACGTCAACTTTGTTATTTTAAATAGAACCTAATATTTTTTGTTTTGTTTTAAAATTCACAATTAGATCTATATTAATAAAAATGTATCGCCGAATTCTTTATACGGGCATCAATTTAGAACGACTGCACCAAATTAGATAATTCTTGTTTTATTGTATTTGTTATTATCAGGAGAAGGTTTGTGTAAAAGACAATTTTCAAAAAATGGTATGGAAATACCTTAAAAATAGTTTTCTGTAATTTTAAATCACAATATAACTAATAGATGGCGCCATACTATGACTAACAAAAGAATAAATAGAGAGTAATCGAAGATTTTATGTCATCTTTTAATAAAAGCACCTCTATTTTGACATATACGGATGCACAATTGTGCGTTCTATTAACAGTATATTAAATACAGACCAGAGAAAGTTTATTTGAAAATTCCTTATTCTGACGTAACCTGTCAAATTACATATAGAAAGAAAAAATACATCTAATTTCGATTATATTTCTATTGGCGACGTGCAAGTACTTGGATGTGATACGAGAAACGATCGTGCGCGAGTAGCGGAGAAATCTTGCATTTTTTACTGCACGTTTCATAGATTTCATAAATTCATATTGTCAAATTGTCATATTTCATATTCGTTTGTTTATTTACACATTCTGTCACTGAAGAAAATGGGATTTAGGAAAGGCTGTGTTATAAATTGTAAAAATACAACAAAAAATTGTCAATTTAAGTTTTATTCGTTTCCAACTTCTAAGCACAAATTACTACAAAGAGAAAAGTGGATTTATATCATAAAAAAGCATAAGTAACATAACCTAAATTATGCATTGTTATTGCGCTCGATTTTGTCAGTTTCGATGTCAGTTTGAAATAAATAATAAATAAAAGTTCACTTTTAAGTGTAAATTTTAGTTTCATAATACTCACTTAAGTTCATTTTAACCCATAAATCAAGTTTAATGTTTAAATTTTATTTTTTTGAAGTTTTCAAAAATGCATCAAGTTCAAGTTTTTCTGAAGATGCATTAAGATATATTCGCTGTCCAATAGTTTACAGGGAAAGAATTAATTGTTCAAACCAATATAATGATATCATGGGCTTAACCTGCTAATTTATGCATAATTTATGTATTGGCATTATTTATGGTAATTTATTTTTCTTAATTCTTCCACATAATTCTTCCATTCTTTTTTGACATTTGCCACTACTAAAGCTTTTCCCTTTGACTCAGTGCTTGGTTAAAAAGTTATTTGGTGATTTAGTTTCTTAAATCCAGTTTTTGTTATTGCATCCATATTAACAGTAATGCTGTAGTTTAATAATATATTTATTTGTATTTACACTACATACGTTTACCTTTTAATAACATACCGACTGTCCGACATAACCTCAATCCTACTTTTTCTTCTTATTCTTTTTTGGGGCTACGTCCTTGACAGTTATCCGGTAACCTCGATCTAACATGAAAGCGCAGTAAATTTTGCTGATTTACTGCAACACCAGATGTCGCTGTTCCGAACTTGCACGGTCCCAATAGATATTTGACAAAATTTTTGTTTGTTTTATTTAATGAATATAGTATTCTTATTATTCTCAATTAGTAAATCTTTATGATTATTGTTTACGTTATACAGATAATATTCATAAGTATTTCTGACAACTATATTTCTTCGTCATTTGCTGCAGCTAAACTAGCTATATCACAAGGAAATATGGCGCTTCATAAGAGGTCAAAGAACGGAGATAAAGGAACTAATAGAACCAAAACACATAGAAAAGGATACATAGATTGACTACATATAAAGCTATATGCAGAAGAAGAACAAACAACGCTAAAACCGGAAACACCAGGAATTACCACAAACGAAGAACTTAATATAAATGTACAGGAAGTTCGAAAAATACTTGAACACCTGAAGAACAGAAAAGCAGCAGGTAAAGACGGGATACCAAACAAGTTACTGAAATATTGTGGAGCAGTAATGACAGAACAATTAACAACATTAATTATTAAAATTATAAAACACAATAAAATACCGGAAGAATGGACAACGAACGAACTAATTCTACTATTCAAAAAACGAGACAAAAAGCAGCTAGAAAACTACAGAGGTATACACTTGTTAAATACTACGCTAAACTTACAACTAAAATTTTGCAAGTGCTAATAAATCAGAGGATAAGTTTAGCAGATGAACAACAGGGTTGTCGTAGTGGAGGATCGTGTATAGATGCAATATTCGTGAAATAAAGCCAATTACTGAGAAATCACTAGAGTATAATAGACCAGCATTTCTGTGTCCGATTGACCTAAAGAAAGCGTTTGACAGAGTAAGACTCAAAGATGTAATCCCCTAAATATTATAAAAACTGTCGAAAACATCTTCCAAAATAACAAAATGGAAGTCAGAATAGATGGACAACTTATAAAACCTATATAAATAGGCAGCGAAATAAGACCAGGGAATTCATTGTGCCCCGTGCTCTTTAATTTGATCATGGATGAAATCATCAAAACCGTTAACAAAGGAACAGGATACAAAATAAAAAACAAAGAAATAAAAATATTCTGTTATGCAGACGACGCAATATTGATGAAAATAGTCTGCAAAGACTGGTCCACAGATTTAACATAAGAGCAAAGTAGCAAAGCATCAGTATTGAACAAGTAATTGAAATAAAATATCTGGGAATTACTCTGTCTTGCTATGAAAACCTGGACAAAGGAGTGAGAGATCAAGTACAAAAAGCTAATAGACTGGCAGGATGTCTGAATAATACTATATGGCGAAACAGACGCATTAACACAGAGATAAAATCAATAATTTAAATATGACCATAATAAATCAATAATATAAATTTAAAGTGTAAGACCAATAATGACATATGCCTCAGACACAAGACCTGACACAGCCACAGCGCAAAGGCTACTGGAAACGGCAGAGATGAAGAATTACAGGAAATACGCTGAGAAGTGAAGACATTAGAAGAAAATGTAACGTACAGTGTATAAATGAATGGACACAAAATAGACAAACAGAATGGAATAACCACATAACCAGAATGGAGGAGACCCGTGTCTCCTCTATTCCTCCATGGCAAAATAGCAAGTCCCAATCGGCAGAAGAAGTATCTGATGACCGCGCAAAAGATGAAGTCAAAACCTTCCATAGAGGTTTTAATCCGCCAATGAACAAGCAGAATGGTTCGTCCACATCGTAAGATGAGCATTATAGATTATAGCATTCTTTAAATAACATTTTAATTAAATTCAACGTTTTACTCTTTTCAATGGTCTTATTTTAATTTTTAGTCTAGGATTAGGTATATATCTTCTTCTTCTTCAAGTGCCCTGGTAGTTGCGAACGTTGGCTGTTAACATGGCAATTTTGATCTTGTTTGCGGCGCTTCTGAATAGTTCGACCGATGTGAGCCCGAACCACTTCCGCAGATTTTGGAGCCACGAGTGTCTTCTCCTGCCTGGCCCTCGCTTACTGTCTATTTTTCCCTGGACAATCAATTGTAGCAGACGGTACTTATCGTGTCTCAATATGTGGCCTAGATATTCAAGCTTTCTTTGTTTAATTGTATTCACGATTTCTTTCTCCTTTCCGATTCTTTGGAGTACCTCTATGTTGGTGACATGTTCGGTCCAGGATATACGAAGAATGCGTCGGTACACCCACATTTCGAATGCTTTTAGTTTTCTCGTTAGCGTCTCCGTCAGCGTCCAGGCCTCCACGCCATACATCAAGATCGGAAAAATGTAGCATTTAACTATACGTAGTTTTAGGAGAAGAGACAAATCCTTGCTTATGAGGAGCTTTTTCATATTGCTAAATGCTGCTCTAGCTCGTTCTATTCTTGCCTTAATTTCTATGGTCTGTTCCCATTTTGCATTTACGTTGGTGCCAAGGTACACATAAGATTCTACATGGTCAATTAGTATGTTACTTATCCGTAATTGTCGAGCATATGTATATATACTTCATCTAATTTACTTACTGTTGCACGTCATCCGCGTCATATTCCGTGAGGTCACATGATACCAACACGAAATATTTAGGCGGTAGGTGTGTTCTTTTTTAGAATCACTTTGCCGAGTACACTGGCATTACAGCCACTATACATATTTTATTATATACGCGTAAAAATAATATTTAAAGATTTCTATTGATGTTAACTTAAAGAAATATACAATAATATGTTTCATTTAAATTATATAAATGAATTATAAAGCGTTTTTATGAAGAAAATTTGTTCGGAACACACTGTAACTGTAATCGAACGAAGGTGATATTTTGGCATAAATTGGTAACACTTATTTGACAGTTGCGGTGTTGACACTTTTTGTACTTTATTATTTTGAATTTTAAAGTGAATACCTCTTGTTTTATATTTTTACCCATTTAATAAAATCTGTTCTTTTTAGAACAAAATAAGTGTGTTTTATTTCAAAAATGTCACGTA